ATTGGACTCAAAATGTGCACCAAACAGGGGCTGAATGCTGTAATAATTCTTCTACTCATTTTCAATCACACATTTTTCAATAAAATAATATTTTTCACCACATCAATAACTTTTTCAACCATATATTTCAATCACATCAAACAAAAAAATACGTTATTGGACTCAAAATGTGCACCAAACAGGAGCTGAATGCTGTAATAATTCTTTTACTCATTTTCAATCATACATTTTTTAATAAAATAATATTTTTTATCACATCAATAGTTTTCCCTTCTTTTTCAACCATGTATTCTCCATCACATCAAACCAAAAAATGCATTATTGGACTCAAAATGTGCACCAAACAGGGACTGAATGCTGCAATCATTGACTTGTAGTATTAACCAATCTAAACTAAAATAATAATAAGAAAAATGCTTTAAAATTGGTAGATCCGAACTACGTGGGGGTGGATATAGTTAAAAAATGATTGTTTGCTGCTAATCATTGTTAATTATTAATTAACATGACAGAGAAAGAAATCAAATCTAACATAAAAGGAGCCAGATGCGCATCTGTTACTTAAATTTATTTCTCCCATCATGTCACACCTTTGAATTAATTGAAAACACAAGGTCAATTAATATTTTTTCAGCTAATTTGATGATATTCACTCAATGTTCACGCATCATACCCTATTCCAACTTAATTTTCGACATTAAATAATCTAATTATTTAATTTAAATTAAATTGAAAGACACCTATATGACAAACAATATCTAAAAAGCGAGTCTAATCACGATGCTCGATCTTATTGCATAAATACGTTAAAAAGTACGGAAAAAATTGAGTTTTATGTGTAAAATTATTAAAACTCGTCGTCTTTATCAGGAGGACATTGTGGAACGAATTAAACTAGCGGAATGGAGCCATTGCCTATACACCTGAGAGACTGAGCAAGGGGCACATCACTCGCTAAAAAAATTGTGAGCTTGCTTCTCCACCACTTCGTGCAACTTTCCTAGAAATGGTTAAGTATGGCGATGAAATCACAAGGGTCCATCATTTTGAGTGTCTAGAACTAGAAATTATAGTTAGAACATTGGCTCACCAATGCTTACATATTTATTCGAGAGTATATATGATTAAAAATAAATTTTTAAAGATAAAACTTGCTGTTATCGCTTAAATTATTCTATGGCAAAAGGGCAAAACAAATGACATTGACCCCAGCCTGGTCCGGTCCTGATATTCCCAAGATCCTCATATTTGTATTTGGATTTTATGAGCACCAGATCAACGGCCAGGGAACTATAAGGGACCCAATCATTGCAAACAATCAACTGACAAATTCCGCTTGCGGTTCACGCAGTTGTATAAATTTACCTAAATGACTACTTTGTCCATCCCCATCTCCCTTGCAAACGAAGGTCGAAGAGGGGTAGATAAGAGAATTCACTTTATGGGTTTCAGTGCTGTAATTCTTTTTTAAATGTGGAGGTTGAGGACGCGTGTACCGCCAAAAAGTACGGGTAATTGTGCTGTACGAGTAGTCAGCATCATGTCTAATGGACACCTACGGTTCTGTATACATCGGGTCCGGTCGTACTTAAATTGGGGCCTAAAATCACTGTGATTCAACCAGGCATGTCAGGTGCACTCTCCACCTTAGCCCCGACACCATCGCGCCCCATCATTGTATTGCAATTTCCACGTGTGTAAAATATTAAGACGAAATAATTCTACATAATTTATTTAATTAGTCTTTTTTTAATCTAGTAATGAGACCTGAATTAAGGATTAATCATGCCCTTGTGGGCCACGGTTAATTAAAATTTATTAATAAAATATAGCTAAATATCCGAACCTGTGGGGGCGTGCCTTTTAATAATTAATCTCAAACATGACTAAGGACAATTGGTGGTGGTGACATTGCATGACCTCATAATCCTGCACCTAGACCACCAAAACATAGCTTATTAACGTAATTAGTAATGTTATTAAATGTTCCTAAGCAGATTCAAGACGCAATTAACAGTAATAGGAACGTGATTACACGCTCCGATTGGCGGCGCTGCTAAATATATCACTAAAATATAGTTTTAACATTGAAACATCATGGTCCAAATACCAAGTTTACACAAGTCCTAGAAATTAAAATTAAAATTTTAATCAAAATTAAAGTTAATAATTAATTTTAATCATTATTTTATGAGATTTACAAATTTTCTATCATACATTTAATCAATTTTTATGACAAAAATCTAATTTTAATTCATTCCAAACAGGGGTTTAATATTGTAGTAACTCAAAATAGAAGACATTTAAGGTTTGTTGGGAAGATACTTGAAAAGTTTAAAATGGTTAAGTTGTTTTTGAATCTGTTTGGATAAATTTTCTGAAATTGCTTAGTTGACTAGAAGAGATTAAGAGGATATTGGTCTCTCTAAGTGTCCATTTCGTAGGAATTTTAAGAAGCCAAAAAATTGCTTTTGAATAAGTGTTGGAATTGACCGAAGGTAAATTTCTCGAGAAGCTCTTCTAAAATTATAAGTTGCTTGACTATACAAAAAATAGAACTATAGAAGGATTTATCTACGTATATAGAAAATGTTGCCCATCTTGTTTACAGATGCAGTGATGGCAACAGATAATTGGCTATAAGTTTTTTTTTTCCCGTACACATAACAAGCTCAGAAATAGAAATACAAGTAAAAGGATCTAAAATGGATTTATACTCTCTAATTACAAACGAAAGAATTCAATTTTTTTTTAAACTAGGCAGTCACTAGATCGCCTGCCTATAAAAACCAACCATTTCTCTTCCAATTGCGAAGCCTCAAAAGCAAGTTGCCTGCCTATCTGCGGCCTTAACAATATTATTCTCTTCACTAAACAACAATGAGAACAGATGTGGATAGCCTGTGGATTTTTGCTTTAGCTTCTAAATGCAAATCCTTCACTTCCCTAAACTCCATGCTTGTTGCATTTCTCTTTGTAATAGCATGGCTACTCTTGAATTTTATTTTCTGGGCACACCCAGGCGGCCATGCTTGGGGCAAGTATAAATGGAGAAAATCAAAAACCACATCAAAATCCATACCCGGTCCAAAGGGTGTTCCATTTGTTGGAAGCATGAATATCATGACCGGTTTAGCTCACCGGAAAATTGCAGCCACGGCGGAGATTTGCCAAGCCAAGCGTCTAATGGCGTTTAGCCTTGGCGAAACCAGAGTAATCGTTACATGCAAACCAGATGTAGCAAAAGAGATTTTGAACAGTTCAGTTTTTGCTGATCGTCCTGTGAAAGAATCTGCATACAATCTTATGTTCAACAGAGCTATTGGGTTCGCTCCATATGGTGTTTACTGGAGAACCCTCAGAAGAATCGCCACCACACATCTCTTTTGTCCTAAACAAATCAAAGCCTCGGAATCTCAAAGATTCGAAATTGCTAATCAGATGGTGGCAATGTTCAATTCACAAAAAGATGATACTATTCGTGTTAGGGATGCATTGAAATTAGCTTCTCTCAATAACATGATGTGCTCTGTATTTGGACGAAATTACAGGCTCGACTCTTACAATTCTGAAACAGAAGAGTTACGAAAACTTGTTGATGAAGGGTATCAGTTACTGGGTACACTCAATTGGTCGGATCATCTTCCTTGGTTAGCTGATTTCGACATACAAAACATCCGATTCCAGTGCTCCAAGCTCATGCCTAAAGTAAACTACTTTGTCCGTCCTATTATTGACGAACACAAGGCCGAAACCGGCAAGCTCCACCGTGACTTTGTCGACGTTTTGCTCAATCTTCATGGGACTGATAAATTATCCGACTCCGATATGATCGCCGTACTCTGGGTAAGCAAATTTTTATATCCTGCACAAGTTCTTTTCACCTCGTATTATTTTTATTAAACTCTGTCAGCTAATGTGTTCCTTTCTTGTGGTTAAGGAAATGATATTTAGAGGCACAGATACAGTGGCAGTGCTGATAGAATGGATATTAGCCAGAATGGTGATGCACCCTGATGTACAATCAAAGGTCCATAAAGAGTTAGACAAGGTTGTCGGAAGGTCACGTGCGCTTGTAGAGTCTGATTTAACGGAAATGGTGTTTTTACAAGCGGTAGTGAAGGAAGTACTAAGATTACACCCACCGGGCCCACTTCTCTCCTGGTCCCGTTTAGCGATAACGGACACCACCGTCGATGGCTATCACGTGCCAGCAGGAACTACTGCGATGGTAAACATGTGGGCCATCATGAGGGACCCGGAGGTTTGGGTGGACCCACTCGAATTTAAACCCGATAGGTTTATTAATAAGGGTAAGAATATGGACGTGTGCGGGTTGGGTTCTGATTTGAGGCTCGCACCATTTGGGTCTGGCCGGAGGGCTTGCCCCGGTAAGACCTTTGGACTAACGACTGTCATGTTTTGGGTTGGTTCGCTTTTGCACCGATTCAAGTTTAGGCCTTGCAATGAAAGGAGTGTGGACTTGTCTGAGGTGCTAAAGCTATCTTGTGAAATGGTAAACCCGCTTTCGCTTATGGTCCGACCCAGGCTTCCCCTTCTAAGTTCAGTGTGTTAGGATGTGCAGTAATTTCACAAGTCTTTCACCAACTCTCTATTGGATTAAATATAATATAAATATAATATACGGCTTGTGGTTATTTTGTGAATCCTTGATGTCACTTTTGACAATTCACAAGGATTTCTTATGCTTTTTTTATGTACATAAATGTAACTTTTTTTTTATTTCAAGGGTATATGTGTTCTATCATAATTTGCTTTATAATATATACGTCATTAAAAAGACAAGATATTTGTATTAGGTCGATTTCCAAAACGTTAATAAGTAAGAGACGATTCGAATGGCAATTTTAGATTAGTCATCAATCACCCATGAATCCTACTTTTGGGTATCTCTTGTTACCTAATGATCAGGGTAAATCCTTTAGTACAAAATGTGTTTTTTCAATGAATTGTTAACGTTTTTGCAAAGAATTGAGATCTGTCGTCCAAAATCGGTTGTCCGACTTACTTTCCACCAAATGATTTATTGCTTCATCATTTTAAATTAACATTTTAATTTTTCTCTCACTGCCAGTTATGCTTAAAAATAGGTGTAAAATGATGTGTCAATTAATTATTTATGTACAACAAGTTGGATCCAATTTTAGACAGCAAATCTCAACTTCTTTGCAAGTTGGTAGTTTATTTGAGAGCTCTAATTTTGAAATTCGATCTAACTAAATTAAATGGCTCATTTGAACACAATTGAGTCATGCTACTTTATCAAGCCTTTGAGTTGTATCTTTTAAGTCAATCTTGTTAAAAGTAGTGATTCAAATTTTTACGTGTTTATTACTATTTTATATGCAGTTGACGTGTAATTTATCCTCAACATATGTGACATTATATCTTATGTTTGACTATGCTAAAAGACTTATGGTTTGAACGATTAGCTTAATGATCAGACTATACAATCATTATTTTTCTCAGACTATTGTCAAGAAGAAGAAGATATTTTGATTACTTGGCAAGTGAGAATTAAAATAATATTTACAAGATTTTTTATAACTATTTCGATACCGATGGGTAGTTAAAGAGACATGAAAACAATGTAATGAAAGATATCATCAATCTTTGTCTCTATGAAGACGTGAAAATGATATCCCAACTGTCCAATACTAAATTTCTATTCCTGCAAAACCCTCTCTTCAGGGACTCTCGTCTTTCAATCCTGCAGACCGATTGCGACCCCAAACGAAATCTAAGCACAAACTTACAATAAGATGAATAATTCACCTTTTTTTTTATTTGGATAAGGAACAACCTTTACATCATCAAAAAATTTGTATATGCTGCTAAATTTAATATGCTGATATCAAGAATGTGTCATTATGAAAACCAAAACATGCCAATAGCTAATTAGACAAATTTGCTTAATTTAAGTACTACAAGTGCATCATGCTTTATTGATTTACAAGTACATAGCTTAATGCATATATGTCGAACATAGAAGATGGTATTTTGGCATATTTCTCTATGAAATTAAGCCTCTGTCTGGTGTACATTTTGGGAGTAAGAATGCATTTTTTTTTTGATATCCAGGTATCCTAACTTACACTAGACTATATCCTGGACCACCCATCCCCGGCCCCTCAGTGATAGGTGGAGGTTAATCGCGGGATATGCCCAAATTGACTAGGGTATGTGCACCCTTTATACTCCTGGCCCCAAAGGAGCCTTCCTCCATGGATATTATATCACCAAACTGCTCCACCCAAATTGAGTATTACAACACTCAGCTGCTCCATTCAGGAATCGAACTCCCCACCCTGAGGTTGCAAGCCCAGCAGTGCCCATCCTTTGCCAACTTGGATGTGCCCCGGGGGGCGTAAGAATGCATTTTTAATGTTGATGTGACGAGGAGTATGTTGTTGAAAAAAAAAAGAGAAATTATTGATGTGATGGAAAATATTATTTTATTGAAGAATGTGTGATTGAAAATGAGTAGAAGAATGAGAATGAAAAAAATAATGTATCCGAAACAGGGGCTAATTAATAATTTTATTATTAGAGAAAGATTAAGAAATCTCCATTGGAGAATTAAGGGAACGAGTTTACTGGTTGAGGGTTTATTCAACAATCGCATATCCCAAGAATCTAGGAAATTCAGATGTATTCAAATTAATACAGGAAAATGACTTTCAAGTGTGCACCCACACGATATTCTTTGGAATATGTTTTAGTAACTTTGTCATGACTTAGTTGGCGACTCTTCCATGATTTCAAGGGACAAATAAACTTTGGAAAGGATTACTAGTGGGGTAAGCGGTCCGATTTTTGTGATTTTTGACAAATTTTCAAATCAAATCGTTTTGACCGGTTTGAGAAAAACTTAAACCTAAACCAAACCGTTTTGACCGGTTTGAAAAAAACTCAAACCTAAACCTAACGGTTTGGTCCGGTTTTAAACCGCCTGTTTCGGGTATATTTTTTTCTTGTCTAATGTCCACTTTTATGCCATTAATTCAATATATATTTATATCTTACTATCAATAAATCTAAAACAAACTAAATATATCTACTATAAATTTAAATACCAACAAAATAAAAGTAAAATCACAATAAAATAGGCATAGTTTTTTTTCTCCCTTTTGAGGTTTTAGGATAATATTTTACGATAAAGACACAATACAAGTCCACTAAAATAAATATAAGATCCAAAAAAACGTAATAATGTCCCTTTTTCAACTAGCAAAAGGAATAAACGAATTAATTTTGTCACAGAACTTAAGAAACATCAAATTTTGTCACAGAACTAGCAAAAGGAAGAAACATTCACATACTTAAGAAGCCACAGAACTCATGATTATTTGTCCTTCATACACAAAAAAAAATTTTAATTAGCAAATTGGGAAAAAAAAAAAGAATTAAGACACAGATCCATCTAATAATGGCTTCCAAAAGACAAGCTGCAAATATTTTTTTTCCCCCATTCCACTATATATATTCACCTTCATCTTCTGTAATTTAACACAGAATTATACATATTCTCTCATATGTAAACAAATGTCTTTTGCGCACCTGATAGCCCGAATTTCAACTTTAAGCCTTACTCATGATCAATAAATATGTAAACATATTTCAACTAGCAAGTGACAAAATTTCAATTTTAAGCCTTACCCACGATCAAATAAATATGCAAGAACCTGAAATAGTATAATAATATCGGCGAACGTACACTACCGGCGACTGGGAGATTCGAGATTTCGAGGGCGTTGACGATTTGGGGGAAACCAGGAGGTGTCGCGGGCCGCGAGGCTGCGACCAGCGAGTTGCGAGTGAGAGAAATGGAAATTAGAAGATTAGAGTTGTGACTTGTGAGTATATGGATTTGGGTTGGGCTGTTTAGTGCTACTTCTTTCAAATTTGGGCATTTTTTTATATATAATTAGGCTTGGGCGGGTCGTAAATCTTAATAATTAATAGGAAATTAGAAATTGACGAAAATACCTACAAAATGACAAAATTATTCAATTTTACAAAATTGAAATTTTGGATAAATTTTCAAAAAAAATCAATTTTTTATTTTTTTATTTTATATATTTTTCGCCGGTCCGGTTTGGTTTCAAACAATAATTAAAATTTCCAAACTTAAACCAAACCGCTTTTGACCGGTTTGGTTTGGTTCAAAACCATTTCGTTGACGGGTTCACGTGGCACCAAACCGTCGATTTCGAAATTGCGGTTTCTGTTTGATTTTCCGGTTTGACGGTTTTTGCTTACAGCCCTAAGGATTACAACCTCTTATAATGGTAAGTGATATCACCCTAATAATTGAGCTATAATCACGAGACGAAGGTGAACTCCCATGCGGTCGTGGCTGACGTCCCATAATGAAAGGATATGGTCAGATAGGAAGGAATGGAGAACAGTCTCTTCGTGTATCTTAAATCAAGTTGTGAGAATTTATATCGACGAAAGATGACCAAGAGCGAGTCGCAGTGATTGTTAAAAGGTCATGATCGACTTTTTAGGACGATACTCAATCACCACATCATTGTAGACTTGTGTCGTTGAGATATGAATTGTCTAATCGTCTCTAAAGTTGACACATGATGTTTAGAGGGATAAGATCAATGTAACGGCCCAACTATCAAATATCCATGCCACTATTTTTCATCCACTTGCTGTGATCCCCGTTTTAATATGCGAAAGTCCTAGGAACATATCCTATGTGCTCATAGAAAAAATTTCACGTCATCGTTAACAAGACATCTATAAGTAGCAAGCTAAGAACAACTAAAACATACATAATTAATAAAAGCCTTCCCGTATTGATTAATCTTTTTTAGAGTTTTTTCTTTATCAAAGAACGCTTTCACTTTCCCTCACGTCGATGGGCAATCGGAGACGAGGTTCAAACCTTCATTGGAGGTCAACCTCCTATTTGCAGGAAAACGTGTAGAAGGTCATTTTGGGTATTTGCATGACATGTTGGCGTTCACATTCTACATTTTTCAGATTCGTGGTGGAATTTTCAATTTTTATTACCAATTTTATTGCATAATGGGATCCACACACAAACCGATAAAAGATGATTTTTTTACAAGAGCCTTACTATGGGTACATCACCCCTTACACAAGGGGTGATATACAAGTAGCACAATTCTTTTTCACAATAGGGGGCTTAAGTTTGAAATAGATTATCAATTTCGAATACCATTTTCCCAACCAATTACAAGCCTACTCCACACCCAGTATTTGGTCCAGTAAAGGTCCACATTCCACAAAACAAGCCCATTAGCCCAAATCTAGGACTGAAAACCCTAATTCTCACCCCGACGATATAAACACCCCTGGCAATTCTGCCATTTCTTATCATAAAATAAATTGAAAGGACTGCCACCGATAGAGGAAAATGCAGATCTTCGTGAAAACTCTAACTGGGAAAACCATCACCCTCGAGGTCGAATCCAGCGACACGATTGATAATGTCAAGGCCAAAATTCAAGACAAGGAAGGTACTATTTTTTTTTCCCTGCCAAATTTCATAAATTCATTTTTTTGCTTCGCGAGGTTGGGATTTTGTATGAATACGTTTAGAAATTTAGTTATTTACGATTGTTAGGTATTCCACCGGACCAGCAGCGATTGATATTTGCTGGAAAGCAACTGGAAGATGGCCGCACTCTCGCTGATTACAATATCCAGAAAGGTAACATCTTGATATGATTTTATTTCACTATGTGAGCTTTCACTCCCTGTACCTGGCTGGGTAGAATTGGTTTTTGTGGTTAATTTTGTTAGGTTATTGGATTTTGGATTTTGTGTGTAGAGTCAACGTTACATTTGGTTCTGAGGTTGCGTGGAGGGATTATTGAGCCGTCCCTGATGGCATTGGCTAGGAAGTACAACCAGGACAAGATGATTTGTCGAAAGTAAGCTCTTATTCACCGTTGTTACCCTGAATTATTGATATGCATTAAACAGGATACTGTGTCAAATTCCAAACTATTAACTTACTCAACTATTTTTACTGTATTATAAGGATACATCATCTGTATGATTCTTAGTTCATTTATTTTTACTGTGTTTGTTTTACCCTTTGGGTGGAAAGGGATACCGTGGGACTCTGCCTCAATGAGGTTTGAGTTATTAATCATTGCTACAAGAATTTATTCATGAACTTGAAGGAGCTACTAGGTGGAATTTATTTTATTATTTAGCAAGGCAGATGGGGTCTTGCATGTATTTTACCGGTTCTGTTCTTCGTCACTCCACCAAAGATCATTTTGGGAATAAAATGTGGGGTTTGCTAAAAGTTATCTTACAATGCGTGTTGATGCTTGACAGTAGTTGCATATTGTTCTGTAGTGGATGTAGAAGTTCTTATACTTTAACATCTCCAAAGAAATTGGTATTATGCTTGCCATACACAAATACGGATACCTGCAAATTCTAACACGATGCCAAGTATCTTCTCAAGCAACACGGCTCTCTAGTTTGTCTTCATTTAAAACTCCATATTGCCATATTTTTGTATGTATCTTACTTCATAAGAGTTCCAGATATTCTGAGTTTGAAACGTATATAATTTTGGAGACTAGTTTCATTCAAGACAATCGGAAGTTGATATACCTTGTAGATTGGGTTTCACCCAAGATGTGATTATATATTTAAAAAAATCAACTTCCCAGCTTGGTCCCTTGAACCATCAAGAATTTGAAACAAACTTCTGCCTTGTGCTTGGATTGTCTGATACTGGTTTGCTTTGTGACTTGTGCCTTTTACAAGTGAAATCCTTGTAAGTATTAATGAGCCATTTATAAATGCATTAAAAAGGATTTATGATTACATAGATTGTTGGGTAGTGTTACTTGGGAGGATCTAGTTTGGGAGTTCAACCTTGAACTCTTGTCCTTAAGTTGACCTTTTTGCAGCAAAGTATATTTACGAAATATGAAAATTCTAATAAGCATCTAGCCACTTTCTCATTATCTGTTTTCACTGCAGCAGAAATTAATACTTCCAGTTTCTCTGTCATCTCTAGTGCCATTATCTGAATGAGTAATTTGAAACATCTCATTTTGCACTAGCCTGAAATATGCATAGAACATGGATTGACTTGCTAACTTATGTTTCAGGTGTTATGCACGTCTCCATCCTCGTGCTGTGAACTGCAGGAAGAAAAAGTGTGGACACAGCAACCAGGTAAATAGCAATGAATAGATGTCATTAGTTTACATTTCTTTTACCGTCTATTGTTGTGAGGTCAATGAAGACTAGGGACTGAACTTTTGCATTACAGTTGAGGCCAAAGAAGAAGATCAAGTAGAAGAGATGTGGAGTTGCTTTTAGGGAGTTATTATCAAGAGATATGTCATGCTGCAGATGTTGGCCAATTTAAACCGTCCTTTCTCTCTTTGATTTGTTTGGGGACATAAGAATCTTATTCAATTTGGATATTTGAGTTATAAATGCCTTTCTGTGCTGTTCATTTTAGATAGAATGTTGTGGTTTTACCATGAATCTCCTTGGTTTGTCGTCTACTAGTAATTATTTTATTAGTTATAGTGCGGTTATTTTACTTTTGCCCTCCTGAACAAACTTGTATGTATCATAAAATGAACCGAGTCATTTCACATAATCTGTGTGTATAATTTGCTCAACAAACCTACAGTTTGTGATACTAGCAGTGCGTTCAACTCTTTTGTGATGACTTTATATCGGATCTTGGGTGAATTGTTCCCGCATAATGAAAATGAGTTACTCCCCTTGGCTTCAACCAATTTACAGATAAGTAAATCAGGATTCACGACCTAAGGTTCTAAGAACAATAGAAGGTCCCATATTTCCTCACCTTTGGACTTCAATGAAATCAAATAAAAATTAAAATGAAGACTTTCAAGAACATCAAGATTGGCCTTCTACTGCACCGTCTCTTAGCCCTGTAATGCATGTCAACTAAAATTAGCATTACATTTGAAGTTTATTGAGACATAATGGTTGAGTCTGTGCAAAGGCAGTGATAGTGGTTCACCTTCAGTACAGTGGCTGAAAAGGAAATCAGCCACTGCAACTATGCAGGTAGAATGCTACACTCGCAATCACTAGTTGACTAGCACTTTGTGTTGAAGAATGAAGGAAAAATGGATTGCGCCACATGGACATAGAATGCTACAATCACAATCACTAGTTGACTAGCACTTTGTGTTGAAGAATGAAGGAAAAATGGATTGCCACATGGACAAACTATGACAGCAGCTTAAGCTCCAACGAAGCATTCTAGAAGGTGGAAGAAACAGCAAATGGCATGAAGAATATGGGGTTCTTGTAAAAACTAGTTGATGCCCGTGCAATGCACGTGTTTAAATATAGTTGGCTATTTAATAGTGTGGAGTGATTGTTAGATATTAAATTGCATTAGATTTATAGTTATATAGTATATAATATTCGAATAGAATAAGACAAAATGAAGACAAATTTAATGCTCGATGGTAACTAAAGATGAAACTTAAAGATGGAAAATATGCAATTTGTGTAAGCGTCCAATTTCCATCTGTGGGATAGATTTGTAAAAAACTAATGAATAAATAAAAGAGCAATCCAAAAAGGTATCACAGATGATGATGTTAGCCACAAATAATATACAACTTTTTCACTTATTGGCTAGAATAAATATATGTAAATTTTAGAGAAATTCATTTGTAAACATGAAAGATATTCAGCAGATAAAAAAAAAAAAAAAATTTGTCGAGCATGTGATGTGATTTGCAGGCTTTTAGCTAGTTAAGAGAAAAGGAAAAAATGTTATTAAAAAAAAAATAAAAAAAATCATCGCTTGCGCTGACGGGGACACTTCCCGAGACATCGCCGTGCCTCCATCCAAGTGGATGGAGGCATGTCCACTTGGATGGAGGCATGGTGCTTGGATGGAGCCAAACCATGCCTCCATTACTTGGATGGAGGCATGGGCACCATGCACATGGTGCCTAGGCATTATGCCTCCGTATTCTAGGCTTCACACCATATACTCTCTTTACTCGATAATGGATGTCAGAAACATAAACTGTATCCAATCTAATCCATATAACAAACACCAATTGAATAACTAACTACATGACATTTATTTGCCCTTAAAAAATATGAAGTAACTTTCTTCAACTCTAAGGAAAAAAATTCCTCATTAGATTTGTTTTCCCCTTAATCAAATAAGTTAATAAATAGTACAATCAATTAACACCCGCTAATTACATCCAAATTTTGTACATTTTAACTAATCCAAGGTAAATATATTCAACAAAAAAGGAACCAGTAGTTATGCAAGAATTTACCAGGTCTTGATGCCTCGTTCCCTTAGCATAAATTGAAAGAAAAATTTCGATTCAAGAATATTTTTGGACACACAATTTAACAACAAAGAAAGAAAGAAAACGAAAATGGACAAAATTGTAGTTCTTGCAATTCTTATTCACTAAAATAAAAACTTAATTCCTGAAGTTAAGATAAAACATATCAAAAGGGAAGTAACATTTAAATACTCTTCTTCACACGTTCTTTAAGTGTAGTTTCCATAGTAACGAAGTGAAGAAGAACAAATTCCTCAGCATTTGCGAAGTTAAATAGGAAGGTGTTCTTTAAGTTTAGTTTCCATAGTAACGAAGTGAAGAATAACAAATTCCTCTGCATTTGCGAAGTCAAATATGAAGGTGAATTTCCTAATAGCTACCTAATATAGGTAATCGATGGTTGCAATGTGATCGAACTTGCATAAGAAACACTCTACTTCAATAAACTAATACAAAATTAATTTTAAATCTCCAAGCATAAAGGAGGCAAGGGTTCGATTCTTCTATTGTTAGCACTTTGTATTCCTAGTTGAAACAAACAAGTCTTAGAAAAAACAAAGTCAATTTGGCCAATGTTATGTGCTTGAGAACAGCATAAAATAACTTAAATGCGTGATGCATAAAATTGCCTCAAAAAATATAACCAACCTTATTTAAGCCTATGCAACGGTGTAGCTGACCAGTAAAACCGTTAGGCTTTGATGGACCACCAGAATCGTCGTCCTTTTGCATATGTCATGTAGTTGAACTCTTCTAGAAATGTTCAACATAAGTATTTTAATTCTACGAGATCAACAGAGAAATCAAGAGCAAACATCGGAACAGTTAGTGCCACTTAAATGTCTAAGTAAATGGAAGAAACAAACCAAAGTAAAAAATTGGATTCCCTCATCTTTTTTGGTCCTGGTATCATCTTGTAATTCAAGACACCTTACAATGTAAGGTTGAAAAAAAAAAGGAAGAGAACGCCAACAACAGCCTCTCCTTACGTTTCATTCAGATTTTTCGCCTACTAATGTTCTTTGGTTCCAGTAGTATCAAAGTAATCATTAGCCCTTATTGACTAAGCACTTGATCGGAAATCCATTTCGTCAAAAATTCTTCCTGAGAAACTGGAAGCCGAGGGCCAAAAAATCTGAAGAGAAAAGTGAAGCATCTTTAGTTAAAGTATAAGGTATAGGATTTATGCTGTATTGTTTTCATAAGTAGAGATTGATTGGTTTTGCAAGTGCTTTGTTGAGGCGAAAGTAATAAAATTTCTGAAAAAAATAGACATATATTGAAATTATTCGTACTTTTGTATTAATATCATATTCTGTATTCTTGATATTGATGTAACCAATCAAATTTCGTACCATTCCTCGTAGCAAAGTTAGCAGCATATGTACAAGCAAGCATTATGTATTCTGGATATAGCTATTAAACCTGTACAAAGTTGAATGATTCGACAGTATAAATATACATATCCCTAAAAGCATCAGATGAGCAACACAAAAGACTTGCAATACAACATAATTGTATGGTGTACAACACGAGTTCGCTAATTGAAAAGACACAAGAAATGACGAAACTGATAGATTTATAGTAAAAAAAATATGAGCAACAACTTAAACGAAGATCTATATATGGAAAATTTTATACCTGTTATAGGTGATCATTTTTGGGAGCGTCTTGAGATGGCATTTGATCATTTGATATTTGAACTTATCAATATCGCCTTGACTACTCATTATGAGAGCTAAAGAAAGTGTGCTGAGATGACATCGGTAACTTGTTCATTATACTCTTGGAAGTTGCATACAATAGGTTCAAGCATCTCGTCTTCAAATTTTAAGTGTGCTGAGATGACATCGGTAACTTGTTCATTATACTCTTGGAAGTTGCATACAATAGGTTCAAGCATCTCGTCTTCAAATTAAATGATGCATTTAAAGTTTATAACCTAGGTTTTACATACAAGGAAAATTTATAGACAGGAGAAAAAGGATGCGAAATAGAGTGATTCATCATATTTAACATCGCTTTAATAGTTATTTCTAGGCGTAGTTCTTGAAAATTAAGGTTCAACTCTCAATTTCCTCATACATAAATTAATAATGCACAATATATATCAAGGATATCGTACCTAAGGATAAGTGAGTAAACTCAGAAGGGAAATTAAACTCAGTTCAGAAAGGAAAGTAAACTCAGCTCCAAAAGAATAAAATTTGCTAAGGAAACGAACATTATTAATTGCATAGAATTTCTGTAATCAATATTTCTTCTATATTCTAAGATATTTATATTTGACTAAATTCTATTTCCAAGCTCCCTAATCCCACCTCCACCCAAAAAAAAAAAAATGCAAGTGTAAAATGATCAAGATGAACAATAAACACCTTAGAATTTGACAGATTAAACCCAAGTAGCAAGAGCTGGGGAATGACACAGAGAAATAGGTGATATTTCATACAATCGCTTAAGATAAAAATAAAATATTATGAATGAAAAGAGAGAATACAAAAACCAGAAAAAGAAAGTGAGAGTTGCATAATGAAGAGGATTCTACTTTTGGCAATCTTGTGTTTGCTATACCGTTTTGCATCTCCTTGTCCTTCCACGACACCTAAATGTTTGCTATACCACAGTTAACAAAAGATATGAAGAAGCCTTATAATTTACTTCAACATCCAGTAAAATCTAAGAAAATTAGCATGATACACTAAAATTCTAATTTAGTAAAAATAGAGACAAAAACCAAAAACAAAGTTTGGTATGAAAATGAAGGGAATATTGCAAGCACAAGATCACAAACCTTCCACTGTTGGCGTTCAGCAGCAGCCAGCTTGCTAGAACCTTATGTTGCAAGTATGATCCATCAGCAAGTTCTGAAAGTTTTATATATTACTGCATATCTAATTCGCTCGCAAATTAACATCATAAAAAAAATAAAAATTCAGAATGTGGAAACACACAAAATATTACCTCATTTGCGTTATTAAGGATA